GGCTCCCCTGGAGGCCCAAGTAGAGTGGGAGACAGGTGAAAGAAGTTGGGTTGGTGAGTCAGGTACAGGAAACACTGTCACTTTTCTAGTGAAAATTAGATTTTAGAACCATGAATCAACTCTCCTAGTTAGCTCCCTGTACTTCCCAAATGCACAACTTCACTTTTGTGTGTCAGTAGAGTCAAATCTGTCATTATCTTTGGCTTTCATTCTACATTCCTTTTTTCAGTTAGGTAGGCTCAGATCTCCTCCTCTTCACAACCCTACAAGTAGCCTTAATAAGTGTCAGGGCTGCTACAGGGACCCTGTGCCCTGCAGAATGATGAAAGGTTTTGATAACATGTCCCATTCAGGTTAAGAAAACACAGGATTCAGATCCCTGCAATATACTTGGATATATTGGATCCACTGGATGTACTTTTTAGGATGTTTCTTCATGCTGCATTAATATATTTAGCAAAGATGTCTTTTGTTTTTAATAGCAAAGCTATATGAGAAAAGTGAATATGCAGGAAAAAAGAGCAGGGATTTGGCTTAAACATGGCATTCCTCTGTACTAAATTGATCTATGCTTTAAAAGCGAAATTGTTTTTATACTGCAACAGTCATTCTCTGGATGCATTCAGTAAGGTTTGCCCATACCATCACCTACCAGCTAAGCTCCTCCTAGGGCTGAGAGGGCAGCACACCCAGTGCAGCTGATAACAGTGGAGCACGTAAGCATCTGTCCAGCATTGCCCTGACACTTCCACGGGGTGCCAGCACTGACAGCCCTGTCACGGGGCCCTCTGCAGAGGAATGTTATCTGTGCCCCTCTGTGCCAGCACGGCTGCTGAGAGATTAAACTGGCTCAGAAACTCTCAGGCAGGACCTGAGTTACACATACATCAAGCTTTGAAATTTACTATCATCAGTTATACAACCATACATAACATGTATGTGTGCAGTACCATCAGTTATGCACTGAGGCCTAATGGTGTGCCCAGCCAGTCAAGAACAAAGCAAAATCCTGGGTCCTGCTTTAGAGAAAGTGCAGTTTAGTTCTCCCTGAAATCAGTGTCAGCAACAGCAGACATATACATGGCCTTAAAGATTATGAGCAAAAAGCCTGAAGTACACATATGTGGTAAGGGTTTGATCTCATATTCATGATACAGACAGAAATGTTTTATCTGGACACTGAGATCACAGAGAAGAAAGAACAAATTCTCAAGCAGTCCCCTTGTGTGCCATGCCCCTTCTCCAAGGTGGGCTTAGCTAAACCTGAGCTGCCCATTGCAAAGATTTCTCACCTTGAGCACTTTTTCACCAGGGACTACAGCAGAGACAGAGGGATGATCAGGAAATAAAATAAATAAAGAAATAGAAGGTTTATGTACTAAAAAACTAAAACACTTAAAATGCTGAATTACAGTGTGTTCCGATCTTCCTCACCTGAATTTTTTCTTTGACTTCCCCAGAAGGAGAACCAATCTGTAAAACAGAGAATGCCCCTTGTATACCATGCATCAGTTTCTGTATGAAAATTGATATATAAATTAGGCAAAGGCATTCGACCAGGGACCTGAATTAGAGGTTCACAGAGTTAGTCTAAGTCAACTAAAATCAGCAAACTTTAAAATAATTTGGCTGATATTATTACAATACAAAAAATATATGGTGTATTTACAACCTTGGTCTCTCCAGCTGTGTTGGTTTAGGTTTTATTACATCAGTAATAACAATTTATGTGATACTCTGAATAATGTGCTATTAAAAATTCAGTACACTATATATTGTTACCCGTGGGATTTAAACTGTGGGAGCTATGTGCATTATTCTCTACTTTGCTATTTCTATAGGAGTGAAGATTACTATAAAAATGGTTAGGTTATATACATCATGTGAATTCCTGCTCTGCTTGAATCCAGGTGAAGAGAAGAAATAGCTCAGTCCAGACTGCCTCAGGGGTAAGAGTCCCCAGAGTTTTAGTCTTGCAATCTAAGGTTACACTGATCCCACATTCAAGCATGAAAATAATATCAATGTGCTTTTTGATGTCTTTAAAGGATGCCAGCAGATTTGTGAGGCATAACCTCCCCTAACAGAATCCATTTGATGCTTCTACAGAGCACCAGCTTTATCTGTGTGTCTATTGATTTTACTTTTTACAGCAGTTTATCTAATTTTCCTGGCACAGAAGTCACACTGACAGTTTTGTAGCTCCTGTGATCACCTTTGAAGGACTCTCCTGAAGCATCAGAAGATCAGTGGTATATTTCCTATGGCCTGTTTTGCTGACATTAGGATCAGGATCAGCAGAAAACCAACCCACTGACACAAGCACTTGAGAAGCTGAGCATTTTAACCCCTTGGTGGAAACACTGCACAGCTCCAGCAATTAGTTACTGGTTAATTTATCAATTTCTCTTGAAGTGTTTCCTGATGACAATTTATTTTAGAACAGTTGCTCACACCCAGCCCACCAAATCTAGCAAGGCAAATAATTCTTTTAGCTGTGGACATAGCCATGTTGAATGCTTCTTCTGTGCTTCCATCCTCCACAGCTTTACTTACAGTCTCACACGACTCCTCTGGTAATAGAATTTGAAAACATTTAGAATCTTACTTTCACATTCTTGGCAAAACCTTAAAATCTTTTTGGTGACCTTTCTTGTGGTTCTACATTTAATATGTATGCTCCTTACTTACTTATATAACTTCCATTTTTGGAAGATGTCTTCATTTTCTTCCCTCAGATGACACAGTTTCAATATTTATGGGTGGCACTGCTGGTATCCTTCTCATTCCGACTCTGGGAGCAGGGCCCAGGTGAGGGAACAGTAGAAAACAGTAATCACAGTGCATTTTCTTTCCCTTCTTCAATCAGATGTTCCATTGCATACAACTAAAAGGCAATGAAACAGAGGATTAATCAAATAGATAGCAATTAAAGCCAAAGCTTTCATGGTGTTTATATTTACACTTTACTTGTCTTTCTTAAAATGCTACATACATATTTTTTCGATTTGGTGAATGTCATAGAATCTCTTTCTAAGTATAAGAAAAGGAGAAACTGAATTCAAATGTTCTGAGCTGCCCCCTTTTCTCTTTGGAAAGTGAGGCAGTGCCTTTGAATTGCCACATGTCAAAACTGGAAGGATTTACCAAGGGAGCAGTCATCCCCTGTGTACTCTGTTCTTCAATACTTTCTTAGAGCACCTGCTTGAATCTCATTATAGAGCTGAGGAGAACCTTTGGTCTAACTTTGCATCCAAGTTCTTATTAACGGAATTAAAAATATGATTTTTATAAAGTATTGAAGAAAATCTGATAGGATCAAATGTGAAATAAATGCTTTTGTTGCAGTTCTCCACCCTGCAAAGACACAAAATTCATATAAGGAAGTCAACGTGATCTGAACAAATGAGTATAAATTTCTGTCTCTGACATGCTATTACCCCACTATTAGTTGAAAAGTAGCATTAATGTCTTCATACCTGCTATGAGACAAAACTCAGTGGTACCTACATATATTAGGTGAGCAAGACTTGCATCTGCATAAGAGAAGGAATCGCTATAGACAAACAACTAAAAATTGCTTCCATAAACATGTTTCTTTATTTATTTATCATTTTCCTGAAAGAGAGGAAGTGGTTTATCTCATTCCTGCTGTAATGAATATCCTCCCAAGCATCCTCCCTCAGTTCTAATGTATACATTACCCTGAAAGAATTCTCTCACAGACATAACAAACATACACTCCAGCCCGCTGTGATAATTGAGGTCCTGAGTAATATGTTTGTTTCTCGGTGGCGTGGGGTAAATGTTTTCAAGCTGCTATTCACAGGCTATTTTCAGGGGCTCCCCAGAGGCAGGCTCAGTGTCTGTGCCACAGGCAGGACCTGTGGAGCAGGACTGGAGCTGTCCTGCAGCAGTGTCACCGCCTCTGCACGGGTGTCCCCGGCTCAGGCAGCACCAGCTCGGATGCTGCCATCTGCTGCTGCATCAGCTCCGTGCTGCTCCACAGGGCAGCGCTTTCAGAACCACCTGAGGACACACTGGAGTTTGGATGCAGAGGTAGAGAAAGGTGAGTAAAAGCACACAGAAAAGCAGTCAAGGATGAAAACTGGGTGGTGGGGAGAACTGGAGGGTTTAAGGGGTGAAGCTGGGGGTGGTAAGTGCTGCAGGGAACACACATCAGGACCTAGCTGGAGGCTAGGAGGAACACTGATGGGATAACAAGTGGCACATTTCCCTAACCTTGTAAGGCTCTGCCCTCTTTAGGACAGATCCAAACCTCAGCTGCACTGAGCAGCTACAATACATGCCAAAATAATCTACCAGAACTGGGCTGAGGTTCTAGTGTCAAGTCAAACAGCAGAAAATAGTCGGAAATCAACCAGAGAGTATAAAGTCTGTATCACATCTGATAAAAATGTCCAAGACGCCGAAGGAATAAAAGTGTCACATTTTTTTCTGGGAGGTGCAGTTCTTTGAGATATTTGGCAACTTCAAGTCTTAAGATCATGGAAAATAATATTATAATACTCTACATTATAGCACCCATGCACTTTTAAGCTAAACACACAGGAAATATATAGTAACTCAGTGCTTCACTTCCCTGTTCTGCCTTGTAAGGAGCCACTGGACCAAAGCAGATTTCATTAAATGTTCTTTATTTATTCTGCCTCATTGCTCTTTTGTAAACAGGGAAGTTCACTAGAGAGCAAGGCATTTAGTCCAAAAAGACCATTGTGAGTGAATATGCAAATTCAACACACACCACCAAGGTAAGACTCCTCATTAGCCACTGAAATGTCTCATAAGTTAAGGGCTTTTGTGTACAGGGTACAGTACAGCATTCTCCCAAGCATTTGCTCTCTTTACAACTTCCCCTTGAAAAATTCTTTGACAACCAAAAGTAGCACGGTTTAAACCCCAAGCAAGGTCAGAGAGAAATTTGCAACTATATATTGGTTCCTTACTTTGTGGTTTATCTTTTTGCCTTTTTTTTTTTTTGATCAGGATGATAGAAACAATTTATTAATTCTTACAAGGAATTATTTCCTAAAAAAAAAAGTATCATAGGAAAGGTAATGATTAATCTATTCTATAAGAAAAAAAGAAGAAATCTGATTGCAAACTTACTGGTATTATCTAACCAGTATAAATAGAAGTGCACTTAGAGAAGGCATAGAATGACAAACCCATGATGAATTGTTAGGGCATGTTGAGTTGGTTCTGTCAATGCCTGCAGTCAGATGATTTCACTGGCTGTACAAGATGAAATCTCATATTTCAATGTTTAAGTAAAAGTGTCAAAGTTCAGCTGGAGCAGGGACGAATACAGAACAAATTTTGTGTGTATTTGTAACTAGGGCACCAGAGCAATAGAGGAAGCCAAAATGAGCCGGAAAAACAAAAGGAGCTTAAAGGAGAAATTTTCCTTGAAGAACAGCCTGGTTAAAGAAGCCCTCTCAGAGTTCCTGGGAACTTTTATAATGATAGTAAGTGTCAGCTGCTTTTTTTTCTTCCTACTAATCTAATGTTGGACAGTGCTTGTGAGGGGACATGTACATTTTCCTTGTACTGTGCCAGCAGCGAGGTTACAGCCTGAGCATGCACAGCCTGAACGAATTGCTCCTCTGACGGTAAGTTTGTAATTCCCTTCTTCACCCCATGTAATTATCATTGCCTATAAAAACCAGATTGTTTTATGTACTACAATTGTCTGATTGGCATTAGATTTCATCTACGAGTTCAGTGAAGGAGTAAGCTCTGAACAATCCAGATAAGCACAATGAATGTTGTTAATACTTTCCTGTTTTTTAAAATCTCAGCAGTTCATTTTATGCACAGATTCTGTTTACATTAACAAACATATTGCACTGCATGTTTAGAAAATTTTAGTTGCGTTGTTTTCCTGTGTAATATAGGAATTCAGCTTTATGATTTGTAGTGAATTTATTGGGAGTTGCATTGCCAAACCTTCACAGATTTTGTAAGTTTAAAATTTTTTGTTTGTTTTTAACTCTATAACATAAATTATATATATATTGCTTGGTCCTATAGTACTGCTACAACTTAGATAAATAACCTAAATTTCCCATTTTTTTTAACCCCAGATTTTTATTTTTATCTCTTTACCTAATTTCTTGTGCAGTTTTTCTGTGCATTTTGCACTGGGACTGTGACTCACCAGGGGAGAGAGCAGGCTGTGTAGCAGTGCTAGAAGTCAAGCAATTAGACTATTTATGCCAAACTTTCTTTCCTTCTCCTTTTTGTCTGGACAAAGTCTTGCTTATTGCTAAATATTTCATCATAGTGAAAAAGGAAAAAAAAGTAGCAGGCACAGTACTGTCATAGGTTTTATAACTGTAACTATATAAGCTAAATTTCAAGTAAGTCATCTAAAAATTCCAGTAGCTCATAAAATACTGGAAATTATGGTCTTTACTACAGTTCAGCCAACTAAAGTGCACCGGCACTAAAATAACATTATTCTCAAATTTAATACCATCCATAAGACGTTATTACAGTAAGGAGCACATTTAGAAGCAAGGAGCACAGAGCACTTTACAAACATTAATGAATTAAATGTCACAACACCCTGGTAAGGAGGGGAAACGTCATTATCTTAATTTTGTATATTAGCAAACCTGATTACAGGAGCCTGCACAGGAAGCCCGTGGCAGAACTCTGAATATAACCCACATCACCTGACTTCCAGTACTCTGTGCTCGCCACAAGATCCTCCCCCTCCTTCCACTAATAAAATTAGGCAAGAGAAGAAAACATATTAAAGTGCAGATTAGACAGCAAATGCTATTATTTAATATTATGCTGCACAAGACTAGAAAGGAAATGCAAACCCAGATCCTATTTCCTAGTATATTCACCATATGAGTGTAGTAGAAAATGGTAGAAAGTGTAGAAAGCTACATAATTGTTGTTGACAATCTGAGTTTCTCATTTCTCTTACCCTTTCTAGTTCCAGTCTTGGTTTAAAGAAGAAAGAGCCTCACCTGGATTAAACTGCAGTTATCTCAGTGATTGCATACCTCAGCTTATGTTTAGACTGCACAAGTTAGCAGCAGTACCAAGTGTTTATTGTGAAGAAACACTGCCTTTTCTGCTGTTATCTTAAGCTGCACAAGGGGAGTTTAGGTTACACATCAGGAAGAAATTCTTCAATGAAAGAGTGATTGGGCACTAGAATCACCTGCCCAGGGAGGTGGTGGAGTCACCATCCCTGCAGGTGTCTAAAAAAAGACTGCACATGGCACTCAGTGCCATGGTTTAGTTGTTGATGTGTTGGTAGTTGATAGGTTAGGCTTGATGATCTCAAAGGTCTTTTCCAATCTCGTTTGTTCAGTGATTCTATTTATTGCTGTTGCTTTAAAACTGTCAGCTAGTATTCACCTAAAGCACAGATAAATATTAAACCCTTAATTTAAATTGGAGCTAATGAAAGAGGCATCCTGGTGAGTCAGAGGACAGAAATCCTTGGAAAACAGCGTGTACACAAAAGTTCTAGTACTAGGATAGTGTAAGAACTGTGTTAAAGCTGTTACAAAGGAGAGGAGAGTTCACGGCCTGCAGCACAGTTGAATCATGTCTTTGCTGAAAGCCACCTCAGGTTGCTGTGATGGGGTTTAGAAACTGTGGAGAGCACCTGTGCCAGGGAGCAAGGCTGAGCCAGCATTTCTGTTAGCCACAGGCTCTGTCTGGAAGCCAATGCTAACTGACCACACCCAAATCTGGGACTCACTGCTGGGAGTTAGCCGGGTGAAATTCTGTCCCTCCAAATCAGCTATTTCTAAATTTTCTAGAGAATAACATCAGAGGCCACGTACTAATAGGAGCCTAAGCTACCATCTTTGGTAACTCTCAGTCTTGCAACATTGTTTTCCAAACAGGAAATCTAGAAAGTGGAATAACTCACCAGAGAAAAACCCAGCCTTCACCTCAGGGTGTGGCCTGCCATGTCGGACAGATTTCACACAACAAGCCTTGAGAAAGGCACTGGGCACAGAGTTTGGATAAAATCTCCTGGTCAGCCCTACTTAGCATGCTGCACTTTGCCTTGCAGCATGGACTCAGAGCACGTAGACAAAATTCTTTCCAGGTGAAAATTAAGTAGAAGGTGAGCTCCAGAATCACAGGAAATGTGCTGACCATCAATGGATGCTCAGTCTAGTGAATCAGACTGGAGATGCTCCATATAATTCCTCCTGAGAGATCCACAGGTTCTCAGGTGCTTACATTATAAACTTGATAACACAGCCCATGTGAGCCATGCTCTCTGCTTAGCAAAGCACCCAATTTTGGTAAGAAACATGAAACTCCAGGAGCCTGGAAGCATCCTGAGCTGGGAGAACACCTGCCTGTTTGCACCATGGTGGCTGAGAGCCCAGCCTCAGACAGTCTCAGCCTTCTGCAGCTGGAACTGGCTCCAAGGTCTCCCTTGAGGAAGAGCTCTCTGGCGAGCTTTTAGTTCTCAATCATGTTTCCTGGGTCAGTACATTTCCTCTTGGGACTTCTGTGAGTTAATCTGGGGGACAACACCTGTGTGCTAGCACAAAAGAGTCAGGAAGCCATGCTGCAGCAGATAGATGGTTTATGGGGCTTTTAGTGAGTCTGCATGGAACTCACCTATCCAACTGCCTCTCTGCTTTTAATCATGCTCCTCTCCATACTTCCTCTTTGGAACTTGACTGCATTGCTCTCAACCAAAATGGGATTTGCTCTGACTTATGCCATTAAGTATATCTGAATTGAAACAGTTCCAAAAGGAGATGCCAAATAGGCCATGTGGCTTCCTTTAGCAGCTACTGCTCACCTAACACAGTTTCTATTTCATTTTCACTCTCAAGAGCATCTTACTGAACAGAGTTTCCCAGAAAGGAGCTGCACAGGAGCCAGGATCTCCAGAGGCCAGAGCAGCATTCACTTCCTTGCTGAGACAAAACACAGGCTTCCATTTAGCATATAAATACAAGAGGGGAGTATACATGCTCCTAATAGATAGTTTTATGTATCTATTCCTATAATCCTGGTCTCCAGCTGGAGGTGGGGAGCCTCTTGCAACTCCCATTGAAGCAAATGTTTGTGTGTGCTTAGAGGATTCAAGACACAAGCATGAACTGAATACATGACAGCCCTGAAACAGCTCAGCTAATGAGGAAGGCTATTTATCATCAAAATGTTTTAGTTTTGTTTTCATATTCTGACCACTTCATTATTCAAGTTATTGCTCCTGCTCTGTTGCAGAGTTGAGTTGCTTCAGAAAAGTCTTCAAGATTGGCATTACACAGATTTGCTCAGTCCATAAGATTAAAATTTACACCAATTTTCTATATCTACTTTTTGTGGTCCTACATTCCAGTGCACGTTAATTACAATACTGCAGGGTAACATATATCCCTTATTCTAAACATGCATTAGAATTCTCATTACATGATGTTATTACATGACAGCAAACATAGCTTTTGATCCTTTGCTCCTTAAATAAGTGTTTAACATTTAACACAAAACCATTACTTAGACATTTTAAACAAAGATAAATTCCCAAGTCCTAAATTTCTGTGAAATGGAGAATTTTTTTTTTGTATAGTATGAAATTACAGCAAGTTTTGTCTAAGGTAAAAAATTAAATATCAGCACTTTCTAACAGCTGCCTTGTTTGCCATCAGTAGTGAATTTCCTGGAGTACATAACCTTGTATAATTAGCTCTTAGTGAACTTAAGTTTGTCAAAGCTAGATAAGAGGGTATTAAAACTTATTTATAATTGGTATTTTGATCTGTCACTCAGCTTTTAAAATATTACACAATGCTACAAATACCATGAGCCCTAGCAGTGTTTGCACTTTGAAGAGCAGCTCTTATGTCAGAGATTCATACATCTGGGTCTCTAGCAGCAAAAATATAGTACAACCAAAAAATAATAAATGCCATCATGAATCTAATGTTATATAGTTGCATATACTTGATGGCATTACATTTTGCTAATGATTCTGGTGAAGACATACAAACTCTATTTAATACAAACTGTATTAAATCAGCATTGCAAACAGAAGACAAAGTGGTAACAAAGACCCTTAGTTGTACTGAGGTTAAGGAGGTGTTCTTGCATACTGTTGTTATTTTCGTCATCTTATTATTACCAGGTTTTTTTTCTAGACAGCCTATTTTAGAAGTCATTCTTTAATTCAGCTGAATATTAAGCAGTGTGAAACATTTGAAAGGAAGGTTAGCTAATTATTCTTTTACCCCAAAATATTTATGACAGCAAAACATTCTGAAAAACCATGGGAATTTTTTGTTTTCCATCCAAACTTAGGCTTCCCAGTATATGACATTTCAAACTTTTAGGTGACTCAGATGTTGTGTTACATGAAAGCTTTGAAGAAAATTATCTTCATTTCTGCAATGTCAGCCCCAGCACATAACTCAACACTCACTGTTTAATGTTTCAGTAAGCTGAACTTAATTTCCAAAAACCT